TTTACGCATGCAATTCTAATGGGAAATTGTTTTTATTGTTGTTGTTGTATTTTCTGCAAAACCAGTATTAAAACAGGCGAGCAAAACGCGTGACAGTGATGCGCCCACTGTATATCGTGTCACGACAATCGCCTGATGCGTGCGCTATCGCAATGGCAATCAAATAGTAAAGCTGCGTATGCAGCTCACGCATGTGCAGCAGCAGATTTCTTACATATATTATTTGTTACATAACTGTTTGCGATTTATTGCAAAGTGTGGCAAATATAAATGTGAGCAAATCAATGTTAATGTCCTTTGCGTTGCCTTGCATCAAATTATTTATTTCTATGTATAAACGAAATCGAACTAGTTCATTTTATGTAAACTGCATACCAAGCCCTTGTGCGTGCAGCTCTGTAAGCAATTGCACCATCGAGATTGTTATCGCTTATCGATAGTCTAAGGCCGGCTTTTGCACGCAAGAAAAGTTGACAATTTTGGCGCTTTGGCAGTGAAATATTAAGAAAAATAAACATTTTAATTAGTTTAAGTGTGTAAAAATTGCAGTAGTGTGTACTTTATGAAGCTGCAAAGTGCGCAGTGCAGTTAAATATGGCTGGTGGGTGTATTTTGTTGTATTTGCCGTGGTCAGAAGCTGCTGGCTAGTGCTTGTTATATATTGTATTTATTATTGAATTAATATCTGGAATCTCTCTTTCTATCTCACGCAGCCATCTCTCTGCTCGTATCGCAACAAGAAAGGTAATCACAGTGTCAACCACGAGCCGAGTGCGTTCTGCGACGAACAGGTTGCGCAGCGACACCAAAAGCGGGGCTCCAGCCGTTGGTCAAGCAGCACACCACACACACACACACACACAGATGTAGTTAGTAAAAGATATCATCGTATGGGACATGGCTGTGGTGGTGTTTGCGCCAGTTTCGTTTCTGGCCTGCTCCGCTCTGCTTTATTGTTCATGCATTGTAGGTAAGTACATTATTCCGTTTTGTTTTCATTACAACTCTTATTATTATTATTATTATCTTAAGCTTTTTGTGTGGCACTTTTCTGCCAGGTCATTCAAATTCGTTGGGGCCTTGGGGCATGATAAGAACTTTGCTTTGTGCCCATGTAAATGATTATTATTATTTGTATTGTTTCTGCACAATGAAACGGTTTTGGTTAAGTGAAAAATTTGTGTGGAACAGAAGGGGAACTGATGTGAAGAGGGGGCTTAGCAAACCGCTTTTCTCTGTTTTCCGAAATGACGAAGTGCAATCGATATAGCATATGCATCTGCATCTACCCTAACTTTTATGTCAATACAAATGTGGAAAAAAAAAATTTGGCTGAACATCAAATCAAATATGCCAGATGATTGCAAGTCTATAACTAAATAAAACAGAAGAGTATTGTCCGTGTATGTGTGTGTGTGTGTTGAGTGTGTGAACGAGCAGTGAAAGTTGTCGGCCGCAATAAATGACATCATTTTGGCAAAAGCCTCATTTCCAATCGATAACCAAAGCATTGAGAATGCGACTTCGACTTGCCGACTGCACAACCAAAAAACCAATCTTAACAAAAGACAATCAAAAGTTTTTTGTTATACTGTTTAATGGATGCACACGAAAGAGTTCGTAACGACAGACATTTAATGCCAATGCTGAATTCGTGCGAAAATAAAAGAATATGTGGTGTCATACAACGGAAGTAGTAGCTGGCAACAGTTCCCAACAAAAGCAACGGCAGCCAATCGTCAGCGAGGCGCATTTCACTTTCACCGCCAAACATGTCAAAACAAATTGAATGTTTGCTATGTATTTCCTGTTAGACGCATCCATAACAAAAGTCTTGGACTCGCCAAACTGTGTTGACGAGTCGATAATTTGTAACTGCCGCTTTGTCAATAAAAGGAAAACATGGCCAAGACATGGCCACAGAGCTTGAACAATTGCTGATGAGCTTAAAAGATAAACTAAGTAGCAAGCAACAAACGAGTCTGAGTACGAATGAGTATACTCTTAAATGCTCACACACACTCGAATGAGTCTATAAGTACGAATGAGTACTCATTTAAGCTATGCACTAATAGTTCCGCGCTACTCTTTAACGTAGGAAGTGCAACTAAATTGCCATCATATGATATTTATGAGTACGGTTTTAATGTGTGTCTCTCTCTTGGGTGAAATGCTCGCACTCGGGCACTTGATGTTGATGATGTGTCACAGTTTTTAATGCGATTGAGTTTAAGTTTTATGATGTGGTAAACGTCTGTGGGAAAATTTGTGCCCCCCGCTGCCCAAACAAAATGTTGGAAGAAAGTCAAAAATGTCGCTTTCACATTAATTGCAAGCAAGGGAAATATGAAATGAATTGAAACAGCTTTGCGTATGCGCAATTTGCATAAATTGATAACAAATCAAAAATACCGCTCAAGTACCTGGTCAAGAGCCCCCTTTAAACAATTAGCCTAGTGCGCCTAAAAGCCAAACAAAAGACTCTTATGAATTGCTTTTGAAGCGCAATAATTTGCCAAGAGAGAGAGAGAGAGAGAGAGAGAGGGAGAGGGAGACGCTTATGTGGAGCATTTGACCGCACAGCGGTAAAACGTGATCTCGAAATTATATCGATGCCAAAGCGACACGGAAAATTGAACGACGAGCAGCTGAGCTGAACTAAACAACTGACTGACTGACTGCCGCTGCTGCCGCAAGTTGTGCTGTCTTCAGGCTGCAGTCTGCAAGTCTTCCAAGTGTTCAACTCTACAGCTTCCTGCCCCTAGGCTAGCTGAGTGGAGTGAGCCGCAAATTACCGCAAACTCAACGTCAACTGCAGGCCGACAAGTGCACAGACGCTAACTGGCACACGCGGCGATCAGAACCTGTATAAGATTTGCTATTGTTGTTGTTGTTGTTGTTGCTATTGTTGTTGTTGTTGTTGTGGCTACTGGCCAAGACATTTTCATTTCGCACGCGCAATCAGCTCGGACAGCTCGGCCGCGGGTTTTTCTTTGGTGTACAAATAAAAATTGAATAGAAATTGAAAATTGTTTTATGCTTGTAACTTTGCTGCAAGAGTCACACACACACACACACACACACTCACACACACACACATCTGCTGGTAATGATATATTGTGTGCATGATTGGCATTTGCTGTCTCTGACCTGACGCAGCAAAGTTGTCCGCAAAACGGAAGCACTGCGTTTTCTTTTCTACCTGAGCCAACCTACAAAAGTGTTTGTTCAATGATTTGATGATTTGATTGTGTGTGTGAGTGTGTGTGTGTGTGTGTGTGTGTTTGGCAAGAAGTTTTCACAGCGTTTGCTGCACAAACAAACTGCAACTGCTGTTAAACTCTGCCATGGGGCAACTTGAGCTTGGAGTTTAATAACCCGAGCATTGCAAAATATGTATATTTTATTTTGTTCTAATTGAAATTTATACTTAACTATAAGTTAAATTTTATGGATTAGTGTTCCGAATTTGTTGCGAATTTTCGCATATTCATATATTGATTATCTCGAGCTGTTTATTTCGAGTTAATAACGTTTTTTTTTAACGCTCGTGCTGTTAAAACTTCGCTTTCCTCTCGCTTGTGACTCAATTATTGTATTCAAAATTTTTATTTTCCTCTAGTTTTAGTTATGTTTGCTCTCGTTTTTTATTAACATTAATTCGTATCCTAAATATTTGATATATTTCCGGCCCTCTGTTTTAGTTATCTTATTTTCTACTGACATTTTATTTGATAGCTCAAATATTTTCTGTTTCCTGTTCGCCTTAACCTATTTAACTTATTAATGTATATCAAAATGAGTTCGCCCTTTAGTAAAATGTATAAATGTCATGATAAATAACGTAATGTATAGGGGAAAATTAAGAAGAAACCTGTCTAAATATTTTATATAATATCAACATTCGTGGCTGCTTCTCAAAGGAACTCTTCGAATTTAATAATATTTGCTATATCTTAATAATCCAAAGCTGCCCATTCTCTCGCTTTATCTGAAGTCTAACCTCACAAATTGCTGCGCGACTCAGGAAGTCTTTCGCTACATTTTCATAATTTTCGATTTGTAATTAAACGTGCCACATAAATAATAAGCGTGCAAATGAATTATTTGCTTTTTTTATGATACTCGTACAGAGCTTGTTCAAGTTTGCCGCTTAAGTCTTTTGTTTGTTGATGTCGCTTTGAACTAATTCAGCACACATAAAACCTCAACCTCCACTTCGACGCAAACTCAATAGCTGTGCCAGTGCCTTCGATTCCAGCTAATAGCTTGACACATTAGAAATTTGTTTCACTTTTTAAATCGGCAACAATTAACACGAAAGCAGCTTGCAGAAACGTTAAAAACTGTCATAAGAAAGTGTGTGCAGGTATTTGTGCGCATGTGTGCGCATGTGTGTGTGTGACAGAAAGATGAGCCTCATGTGCTCATCCTCAGCGCTTGTTTGAATAGCTAAAAATGGCAAATATTATTGTGCGTGTGCGTGTGTGTGTGTGTGTGGCCGTAATGTAGCATAAAATGAACCAAAAAATTGTCAAGTGCGTTGCGCTTCTGCTTGTGGTGTGCATGTGTGTGTGTGTGTGTGTGTGTTTGTATGGAAAGTCATTTTCTGTGCCAAAGTTTTTCATGTGGAATTGTTATTGACACAAAGGCACAGTTTATGTTGGCTTTTATTTTTTTTCTACCATTATTTTTTTGCGCTTTTGGTTTTTTTTTATTTATTTTTTTGGCCATTGTCAAAGACCAGCAGCAGAGGCTTTCACTCGCAGTGGCAGCAAAGTGTCGAAGTGACACGCTTCTTCGATTTGTCTCAATGAGAACGGGCCGCAAACATGAGCTAGCAATTTGCCAAATTGATTTTCATTCAATTGTTCAGTTTATAATTCTTGCACAGTTTTCTATTAACAGCAGCTTTCTATGCAATTGTACTATATACCATATATGTATATATATATATGGATATATATATATGTATATCGGTGGAATGGTCTGTCACTTACCGCCGTTCGTTTCAATTGATGATCTAAATCCACTTGTTGTCTGCACAAATAATGCGCCTATTATTATTAATGTTGTTAAAGCGTTGGAAAGTAGTTGCCGTTTTGTTGTTGTTCTTGTTGTTGCTGTTGTCGTTTTGGCTGCTGCTGTTGGTGTTGTTCTTGTTGCCGCTATTGTTGTCGCGTTTGTGCGCGACGCTAACGCTGACGCCGGCATAACCCACTTAAACATGTTTGCGCTGGTCTACGGCGGTCGTCGGTCGTTGGTCGTTGGTCGTCGGTCGTCGGTCGTTGATCGTCACTGGACACTATTCCGGCTAGACGGTTCGTCTCGGCTGCAATTTCCACTTAGTTGAGGGCTTTAATGTGGGGACAGTGCGAAAAACAATTACCAACTGTTGATGTTGTAATTGGAAACTGAGACGCGAGTCGAGCGCGCGCACGCCACACCACAAAATGTACCGCTACAGGCAAAACAAAAGACTTAGGCAACGAACGCGTTTCATGCACGACTCTTGAAGATCTTTTTTTTTCTTATTTTTATTTAAATTGAATCGAAAGAACAACAAATAAAACACACGAAATTATAAAATTTTTGTTGCTTAACATTCGTTTTTGACGGCGCACTGTTTTTGATGTTTAATCATTTATTTATTGGCGAATTTAATATAGTTCAGCACTTCAAGAGTTGCTACTTGACCATGTCAAGCGCCATGCGTCCGGTCAACTGAACGTTCCGCGTGTGTCTGATTGTCAGAGTTGCCCGTTTGCCAGCGCTGGCCGAGCAGATAACGGACCTTTGCCACTTTTGTGTGGCAGAACTTTCACTTTAGCGCGCGAGAGCAATGCCACGAGCGAGCGAGCGAGCGGCCGAGAGAGAGAGAGAGAGAGCGAGCGAATGTGAGAGAACTGTTGAGTGAGAGAGCGCACGCTTGTACGTGCGAGTATTTGTATGAGGCGCGAGCCGCTTAAATGGTAAACATTTCTAATTCGGCATCTACTTGGCTATATTACTGTTAACATCTTGTGCTTTCTCTGTATGTGTGTGAGTGTGTGTGTGTGCCTGATGTGTGTGTGTGCGCTCCCAACGTCCGCACGCGTGCGCGTTTCAAACTCAACTGAAACGGTTTACAGCCTCGACTTGCGGTTAAGAGCTGCACAGCGTCTGTCAGTTAACAGACATGTAACTTAACAGGCTGTTAGGCGCATGTTATGCGGCCGCATATAATTGCAATTTGACAGCGTTGACAGCAATAGATTTTTCCAGGCCCAGCTTTCGCCTACTGGGCACACGATTTACGTGCCGCGATATTTGCATTCCATATTCAGCAAGGTTATCGGCCCGCTGCTGCAGATCCGTTCGCAGCCAATAACAAAAGACTGCAAGACACAAACTTGGCAATTAGTGCACTCAAAATTGCTAACAAGCGCAGCAATAACTGTCATCTGCGCACGTATGTGTGAGTGTGTGTGTGTGTGTGTGTGTGGCTTTGTGGGCCTCTAACCTGTCGTTTGGCATTTCCTTGACCCAAATTTCACTGACTTTAGTTTGTCAACGTCTTTGGACACGCCGCTGCAGCCGCCGCCGCTGCAGTTGCCGGGGCTTGGCCTAGCAAAAAAAAAAAACATTAGCATAGTCGGAGTTCCAGCTCGAGCCGCGCTGAGCCGGTGCCAGGGCCGGGCACTTGGCTGGTCAAGCGTGCAGCTCCACCAACACGATCTTTGTGTAGAATTTCACTTTCGTTATTGTCGTTGTTGCTGCTGCTGTTGCTGTTTTTTGTGATTGTTTTCTTTTTGTGTTTGGCTTTTTGGTTTGCTCTTGCGGTCTGTCCAGCCAGCGGCCGCAGCATAGCCATTGAAATGGAAAACGTTGCGGCTTATGGCTTGCCATTTGGCTATGCCGGGCACGTGGGTGGCGCATAGCCGTTTAACTTAATGGCCAGAACCACAGTGTACTTTCACACCTCTTCGCTGTTGGCAAATTCTGCGTTCCCAGGCGCATCATTAGCCTCTGCTCGGCTGAGATATTACGACATTCGACCAACGTAAATGACTCGATTATAATTTAAATGTTTTTAGCCAAGGTAAATTAAAACACAGACAACTTCCAAACGAATCGCTTTCTCCTGGACAAAAGCCCAGAAGGTGCCAAAATACAAAAACTAAAAACACAAAACCCGGTCTATAACGAATGAGCCACAATTTAGACAAAAATAAAGCGAATGATTAAGTTAGTTGCAGCGATTCTGCGCTCGACTTTGTAGTAGCCGCTAGCTGCGGGATTATATAATCGAAAGCAGATGGGCTGCTCGATACAAGCACAGGAAATAAATAAATGTCCATTGATAAGCGTTTGAATAGCCATTTGAATCACTGAAAGTGCCACAATTTTGATTTAAAACAAATCCAAATGCATAAATTCAGGTATTTGAGATTTAATTAAGCAGAAATCCCCCCATCCCCTCTTTGTTAGTGAATGCAGTTTGTTAACATGAAAAATGGGAATTAGCTGTTATAAATGTAGTATATATAGCTATATATAGCTATTAAATGTACAGTTATTTAAATAAATTTAGTTAAACAAAGCTGAGCTTTTAAAGTGAAACATCATTAAAAAATTCCGCTCCAAAGAAGGAAATATCTATAACAATAATTTTCTCAATATTGCCCATATTCACATATTGAATCAAATCTAATTTTATTGTATTCAAGTTTAATTAAGATCTCTAGAAATATTTGAAAAGTTAGATCGACTCGGCAATTGATGCTGCTCAAGAATAGATATACTTTACGGGGTCGGAGGTGCTCTCTTCTGCCTGTTACATACATTTACACAAAGCTAATATACCCTCTTTACCAATTTTCGATGGGTGCAGGGTATACAAATTTTTGCAAAATTAATCACAGAACTATTGATAAATAATTGTGATTAAATAAGCTGTGCTTAAACTGAAATATTATCAAAAGCAAATGTGCTTAAAATTTATATAATTCCTCCAAACTTTTAAGCTTTTTTAGAATCTTATATTATGGAAATTATATTAAATTTCTATATTTAACTAAATTCACTCCAAGCTCTTAATTAACAACAGTTTACATGGTCTTCCCAATCGATTATCGATCCTCAACATTAATAAACACATTAAGTGGCATTTTGCATGCTTTCTTCTGCTTAATTCTCATTTATTTTGTTTTCAAAATAGACAATGGAAAATTCCAGCGCCTAAATCTTTTTATTTATTTTTGGCATCTTGGGTTCACATATCGCTCGAGCTGCTGATGATCCATCATCGCGATGAAATTTCGTTTTATTTTTTATTTTTTGACGACCGCGGTGCAAATATTTTGCAGCTGGGCAGCTACTACACGATAGATCGCTAATAGCAACGGCATAATTAGTGACAAGTGTGTGAATTTGAATTTCTCAGATAATGCCAATCAACGCCAGCTAGCCGCGTGAAAGGCGATGCCGTCGTAGGCGTGGCATTGTCAAAAGCAACATTTTGTGGGCGGTCAGACAATCAATTGAAGGCAAAAAACAAGAAGAAAAAGCAAGAAGTCAATATTTTTTTGGCATGTGAATATTTTGTTGCGAATCTGCAGGTGTAAAACGTGAGATACAAGATATAAGGTCTCTGGCCAGGGGCCAAATCGTAACATTTGTTAACAGCCAAAAGAAACAACGCCTGCCGTATGCTCAGCAGTTTTTTTTTTCTACTTTTTTTTTTTTTAACTGTGGGTATTCCTTGTTTCTTGTCTGGTTTGGGAGTTGATTAGGTCTGTCAAATTTTGTTTTCATCGCCGCCGCCGTTGAAAACGAAAGTTCAAACGAGTTGAATGAATGTGTCTGAAAAATATTTGGAATCTTTGGCAATGCTGAAATCTAATTAATCACTTTGGAGCTGACGACGCCCTTGTGATTAATTGCCAGCTAAATTAAGTTAACATATTTTGCCAACCAATTTCATGATCTGACAGTCAAATCATCATCATTATCCGACTTTGAACTCTACTTTCTACATTTTATTCAGCAAGTAGCTTAACTGTTGAGTTCAACACACTAACCCGGCCGAGAGATTCAATGGAATTCGATTCCCAGTCAGCAGGTTCGCAGCTACCGTTGCTACTAAGAGATATGCAACAATACAATACATAAAACAACAATAATTTCACTTTTAGCATGTGGCAGTTATGTTTATTTTCAACACAAACGAAAACTAAATCAACAAAATACTAGAAGTAAAATATATTTAAAGCAAAACGACGGATTCAATACTCTTAAGCTCGATTTAAATTAAAGAAAATTTTATCATGTTTGCTGAATATTTATGTTATTTATGTATATATTTATACAGAATATATATATATATTTTATTTTTATTTTATATATATTTATATTTATATTTTTATATGATATTAACATATTCTTTTGATCACGTCGCGTTATTAGCCCTTGCTACATTCTAAGCATACGGGAATGTCTCTCTTTTTACTTCTCTTTCCCTCTCTATTTTTATTGTTTTGTGTTGTTAAAGTATATTATTTAGGTTATACATTTATACTATTAATCATATTAAACAAATTATTTTTGGATACATATTTATACTATTAATCATATTAAGTTAAGATAAATGTTGATTTATTTTTTGGTCTTCACATATTCTTTTTTAATATCAATCTGTGTCGCATAGGCCATCACTTCTTTATGATTAGTTGAATTGTCCTTAGTCCTTAGCAAATGACAGTCAGACCGAAAAGGCAGGTTCGCGGTTCGAATCTTTGGCTTTTGGAATAATCTGTATTCGGGATGATAATAAAAACATTAGAACGAATAATAATATTTACAAAATATTTAAAATTCGTAAGAAACATTAATAATAATATTATTAATTTTATTTTAATATTTAGTTGTTTTTTAAAAAAATAATTGCAAATTCTTTTGATGTATTCGTGTGGCAAACATCGTGTGAAAGTTGTGATAACCTAAGGCAAGGGCATAACAAGAAAAGAAACTACAGCAACGGCGCATTAGAAATGAAAGTGAGCAGCAACAAGTACAAATACCACGCACACACACACACACACACACACACTCACACTCGGCACACACACACACAGCCACAATATCATAGTTAACTAACTAATGTATGACACGTTAACAAAATGCAAACATAACGAGCTTCGAATTGAGCAGCGACCACCGTCCTCCGCGGTGGCTGTTAGAAAAAGCCGCAAACAACAAATCGC